CCAATTAATTTAAACAAATAAAATATGTATCTTAGTTTTAAAATTCGACAGATACATGTATCTCACGGATTCCAACTTCTGTATCCTAAGTATGAAATATAGTAGAGGAAGTAATAATTCAAACTATTGAGAATCTTAGTAATTAGGACCTAAACTAGTGAGATTTAGATAGTTTGCCCCTTCTTTCTATCAATAAAAAAGCCCATGATAGGTGATTTTTTTTATCAAAAATATTATTTATTTTTACAAATGACACTATATATACAACCACTCATAAGGTCATCATCCATCAAATTCTGCAATTTATTAATCTTAATCAACTTCATTAATGAAAATCTCTTTCAACTATAGCAATAGAGTCACCAAGAGCAACACAAATTTTTCAAAACGAAATAGATTAGCAGGATTCATGCGAATCCTCTTGACATCACATAGGTCCGCCCTTGCACCTAACAAAGTAAGATTCATACGAATCCTCTTAACATCACATAAGTCTGCCCCCGCACTTACCAAACTATATTGCCCTTACGTGAACCATTCATATTCAAATGATAGTGCAAGGTGTCATAAGAGAAACCATTAAAAACAATGAAATAAACAACAATACATAAAACAAATTGTATCCCCAATACCCTTTTACAAATGCCACTAATAGACTTGGAATACAAATATTTGTACACAATGCAACCCACAATTAGAGGCATTTCCTCGACAAATATAATTGGCTCACCTTAGTTGAATTTAGAATATCTCCTCGAACTAGATCACTAGTATCCTGCGATACAATAAGTAGTAAGATATGTGCGAAGCAAGAAAATACATTTTCCTGCTTTACACAGATTACTAACTTGTAACCCCAGCTATTATACCTCGTGGAGCAAGTCATCAAATTTCACGTGTGCCATGAAAAAAGGTAAAACACATATCTCAATAATAATAACATGTATAAATCAAACTAAAACATACACTCATAGTGTACAATCTGACTTGAGTTGATATATATGTCCTAATAATTAATACTTATATCATTAATATGTCCCCACCAATTGTGCATTGTAGCAAATATTCCATAGATGTGGCAAGTGAAAGAGGCGGAGTCATGATCGAATACGACGCTTGCTTGGTTTTCTTAGTTAAGAAATAAAGTTGCACCTTTGATATAAGCTATAGCTTGTGGCATGATGGTAAGCGTTTGATCCTAACAAGTGGTATTAGAGCCAAGGTCGTGGATTCGATTCCCAAGAGCAACATTCTGCATGAGGCAGGTGTTGGGAGGGAGATTGTTGAGTAATGTCAACATCCTGCCTATGGAAAGACCCACGAGGGGTTGGGTGGCCCAGGTCGAAGTCATGATCGAACATGACACTTGCTTGGTTTTCTTAGTTAAGAAATAAAGTTGCGCATTTGCTATAAGCTATAGCTTTTGGAATGATGGTAAGCGTTTGATCCTAACATTTACTATGTATGCTAAGTCGGGACGAGTGAATGTCAAGTATTGGAGGGCACCAACTATACTACGATACAAAGTAGGATCACTGAAAGGAATTCCACCAGAAGAGGAAAGCTTCGAAGCTGAGGAAATGGGAGTAGTGACAGGAGTGCACGAGTCCATCTGTGCTCGGTGAAGAAGATCAGTGACATACTTGTGTTGCGATAAGAATAATCCTTCCTTCGTCCAAGTTGCTGCAATACCCAAAAAAATAGGACAAGATCCCTAAATCGCAGACGGCAAACTGAGATTGAAGTTGAGCAACCAAAGCCTTGATATGTACAGGGTTATTACCTATCACTAAGATATCATCCACATATATCAAGCAAAAAATTTTGTCACTTGGAGTGGACATATAAAATAGAGAGCTATCAGTCTTAGAACCCATGAACCCAAGTGAAAGAAGAGCATCAGTGAGGCGTTTGTTCCACATTCGAGGTGCCTGTTTGAGACCATGAAGAGAGCACTTAAGTAGGCAGACATGATCGGGACGAGAGGGGTCAACAAAACCAGGAGGCTGAGACATAAATACCACCTCATCTAAGTGTCCATGAAGAAAAGCATTGGAAATGTCCAGCTGCGTTATATGCCAACCGTTAGTCACTGCTAACGAGAGTAACAAACAAATAGTAGTTGGCTTAACACTGGACTAAAGGTGTCCACAAAATCAACCCCAGGCAGTTGATGATATCCTTTTGCAACGAGACGTGCCTTGTAACGTTCTAATGAACCATCAACTTTCAATTTTGTTTTAAATATCCAGCGACAACCAATGATATTTTGTGATGGTGATGGAGGAACGCCTGCCATGTGCCATTCTGTATTAAAGCATTATACTCTTCAGCCATAGCACTACGCCAATGTTTAGTCTTAATAGCCTGAGCATAACATGAGGTTCCTCAAGTGAAGGAGCAATAGCAGACATGGAAAACGGTTGTTGCGACTTTAATGAACCTGTCTGAGACCGAGCAACCATTCGTCGAGCAGGTGTTGAAGGCAACTGAGATGGAATACAGTCAGAAGCACCAACTGGCAAGTCACATTTAGAGAGGTCAACACATGGAGAAATCTCATTAACTGAAGAGTGGGTCGGTAAAGGTTGCGGAGTTCCAGATGTAACAAACTTGACTGCATTGGTTGATGTTTTGGGCACCATAGCATCCTGTGGTGAAAAAGGAAACACACTTTCATCATAAATGACATGCCGAGATACAAAAAATTTGGAGGAAATAGGATCAAAACATTTATATCCTTTATGAATTTTACTATATCCCACGAACACACAAGGTTTTGAACGAGGTGATAATTTGTCCTTCGTATAAAGACGAAGCCAAGGAAAGGAAAGACAGCATGTTAGTGAAAAATTACAAGATAACAAAAATACAAGATTATAATTGAAAATAAATATGAAGAAAATAAATATCTTCAGGCTGAGGCGCGGATATCTCGCTCTCTTTAAGGAGATTCAAGCCCACTGCAGCAAATGTTTTCACCGGTCCAGCAATAGTCCTTCTTGACTTGTCCCCTCCAAGATACAACAGCTTAATCACAAAATATAACTCAATAACTCTGGACAAGAGTTGAGTCCAAAGCTCCACAAAAAAAACGATCAACTAATAAGAACTCTTTTTTTAACTAACTCTTTCACTCTATATTTTTCTTATATGTTGTGTGTAACAAACCAAATGAAGACCACCACTATTTATAGTACAAGAAGTCTTCCTAGAAATGAATAGGAAGATAATGGGGTAGTAAATAGTGAAGATAAATGGTCTTAAGGTTACATAGGTTACAAGGAATAATGGAGGAGTAATGAAAAGAATTAGTGGTCATAGTAGACCACCTTCTGCCACTAACGACAACCTCAAGTTGAACGTTTTGTAACCACCAAATAATGAGTAATAGAACACATGCACAGTGAGTAACCAAAGTGAGTAATTAGGCATAAGAAAAGTCCACTAACGGACAACAAAAGAAATGCCATAATTTCCAACGTTCTCTGCACATTCACTAAGGCTGCAATGCAATTAAGCCTAGGACACAATTATGAGACTATTTTAATAATAAATAAATATTAAAATGCTCAAAAAGACCAACACAGCCATACACTCGCAATAGAGAATAATCTAGTTCATTTTGAAATAGTACCAAAAAAGGAGATAGATTTTGCAATCTTGGCGTAGGTAATTTATTAATGGTGTAGACTGCAGTTTCAAAAGCATTAGTCCAAAAACGAGAGAGAACGTTAGTATGATGTAGTAATGCTCTACCGGTTTCCACTATATGCCTATGTTTACGTTCAGCACAAACCATTTTGTTCGGGTGTATAAGGACAAGAAGAGCATTGTGTAATTCCATTATCACGTAAGTAACTTGCCAAAGCTTGAAACTCACCACCCCAATCAGCTTGAAAAGATTTAATTGGACAACCAAAATGTTTTTCAACCAAGGTACGAAATTGAATAAACACAGAGAGGACTTCAGACTTGAAGTAAAGAAAATATATCCAAGTATATTTACTAAAGTGGTCGAAAAAGATCACATAATAACAATAACCATCATTAGAAACAACTGGGGCAGGACCCCAAACATCCGAACAAATTAAATCAAGAGGCCTGGAAACTAGACTCACTAAAAGGGACCTCATGACTTTTGCTAACAGCACAGGTAGTGCATAAACTAGAAGATTTACTAGACTTTAAAACAATTTATGGTAATGCTTGACGAACGGTAGGATATGATGCATGAGCCAAACGAGCATGCCAAACACCGAGAGAAGTTGCAAAACAAGCTGGAGATGGTAACTTTGTTACTGGAAGTTAATATAGTGCTCCGCTACTCAACCCCTTTGTGTAGTGGTGCCCTCGTTGCCAAGTCCTTAATCAAAAGATGGTTAGGAAAAAATTCAACTAAGACATTATTAGATTTGGTAAAAGAATTTATGGATACCAAGTTTTGAGTAGTAGTAGGAACATGAAGAATATCTTCAAGTGTAAAATTTTTTGCAGAAGCCAAATAGAACTTTTACCTATATGAGAAATTGGTAGTTTAGAGCCATTACTTAAAGTGACCTCCTCTGGACCTTGATATTCAGAGTGAATTCCAAGATTATTAAAGTCATTTGTTAGATGATACGTGGTGCCACTGTCCATCTACCAATCTTGGGTAGGTGAGGGTTGGGTGTTTGCTAGGTTAGAGACGGGTCTGCCAAAAGATCGAGTTCCATTGAGTGTTTCAGGCGACGGGCATACTCGTGCGATGTGACCTTTTCCTTCACAATTGTGGCAAACAATGGGTGATGCATCAATGACTGAAGACTTCATATTAGAGGATGGAGTATTGTACTGATAACCATTATTTTGAGCCATCTGGGAGTAACCATGATTCGATGAGCGACCACGACCTCTAGTACCTCTACCTCTACCACGTCCACGATTGGTAGCAACTGAGGTGTGAGTAAATTGTGTTGTTGGTGCTATGACATTAAGAGCCTTATCTCTTTTCAATTGTCGTTCTTTATTCAGCAACAATCCATATAAATCATCAAAAGAAATATCCTCTTGACGCGATTCAAGCGATCGTGTAAAGGGACTATAGGTTGGTCCCAAACCAGCAACAATGAATTCTACCAGATCATCATCAGTAACGGGATGCTGCAATGCAGCCAACTTGTCCGCAATACCCTTTGCATGTTGCACATAAGTTTCGATACTTGCATTATCTCTCCGCAATGTGTGTAACTGTATTTTCAACTCACGAATCTGTGGCTTGGAACCATATGCATAGGCAGCCACAAGTTTGCTCCACTCTTTGTGAGTCGTCTCTGCACCAACCAATTGAGGTAAAATACCTTCTGAGACTGAAGCAACGATCCAACTTAACACAAGTTGATCTTGTCTTAGCCAAACATGGTACGCAGGATTAGGCTGATCACCAGTCAGAACCTGATCTGAAATCATTGCACTACCATCGATATGATGACCAAGACCGCACCCTCGAACCATCGGAAGAAATTGCGTCTTCCACAATGAAAAATTCGAGGATGTGAGTTTAGCTGGTAATTGGTGTGCGAGATTTGGTGACGGTAAATGTATATTAGAGAATGAGGTTTGTGTAGTTGCAATCAAATCTGTTCCTAACGATTCAGAGGCAGTGGAGATATTATCGTCCTTTGCCATTGGAGTCAGTTCTCTATTTTTATTTTTGGGTTGTTTTAACCTCTTAGGGCTCCGATACCATGTAAGAAACTCTTTCTTTAATAATTATATTCAACTTACACGAGGTTATATATGTACACAGAGACTAACCAAGAGTCCTAGTTGATTACGGTACAGAAACAACAAAGTCTAAACAAACTAGGATACCAGAAGAGACCAAGACATAGTCGAACTCGTCTATGGTATCGTCATCAGCAAGAAGGACTGTGTGTAAGTATACTGGAGTGTCGAATTAAGTTACTTCTTCATAATCGGTTCACATTCATGCAAATGATGATTTTTCTTAGTTTGATAGTTTCTTTTAGGGGTGTTCACGGGTCGGTTTGGATCGGTTATTCGTCAAAACCAAAAGCAAACCAACTTAATCGGTTTTAAAATTATCAAAACCAAACCAAACCAAATATAATATACATTTATCGGTTTGGTGGTTATCGGTTTTGGTTTGGTTTGGTTTGGTTCGGTTATTCGGTTATTAACCATACACAAAAATAAAAGAAACAATTCATTCAAAATGTTAAAAAAGTGACAACAATCCATTCAAAATGAAAAATAATTAGAAGGATTTAAATTATTGAACTTTCGATCACTAAATTTACTATCAATAAAGCTTTAAAATTCACTATATTGGCCTAGAAGGAAGAGACAATAACATTTTCAGTCCTACAAAGAATTGTCACAGACACTCATATACATGAAATCAATAAGATAAATATTTAATCTTGGGCATTTTTGCTTTCAATAAGTAAATTATAAAGAAATTTTAATGAAAATATGTATAAGATCTTTAAAATTGTTTATAAAAACAATATATTAAGTATGCATATTTATTAAATATATGTATATAATTCATTGGTTCAGTTCGGTTATTTCTTCGATTTTTTCGAATAAAATCATAACCAAACCAAATACTATCGGTTTTCAAAAATCTAAAACCAAACCAAACCCAAATAAAATCGGTTTTATTTTATCGATTTGGTTCGTTTTTTCGATTTGAATTGGTTTTTATCCAAACCGTGAACACCCCTAGTTTCTTTAATAAAAAATAATAGTTTTTCAGAAGACTTAAATTAAAGTTAGTTGTTTCTATGATAATTTTGTCATTAAAATAAGAGTAATATTTCAATATGTACATTCACTTTATTTGGCTCCGTATATTTTTCTAATAGAAGAAACGTAAATGATATGTCTATTTAAGGAGCATCGTTATTTAACTAAACACACACAAAAATTAATAATATTTCCTTCATTAGCTCTCTCCTTCAATAATACTCTGGCTCATTAGCTTTCTTTTTTCGTGAATTTCTAGACAATTAATGTATTCATATAATTTCAAACTTTCAGTCAGAAGAGCACACATGAAAGAGTTGTGAAGCCTTGAAAAGTGATCGACTTTAATGATTTGTAATGGAGTCGAGCTAAAATCACTTTCAAAGCAATGAGTTACCATAACATAATATTTTTGACAGTTCACTCACTATTTTTAATTCTAGTTTAATATTAATATTATAATATATTTTTTCCTAACAACAATTTTATAACTCCTAAATGCAAGGACGGAGGTATACTTGGACATCCTTCATCGAAAAATTACGTATATATAAATAAACCAATACTTTAATTGGTTAAATAAGACATTTTGGACATACTTGATACAATAAGGTTTCTCAGCCCCATGGTTTCTTTAGCTTATCTAAAGCTGACGCATTAAGGGGTAGTGTTAGACCCCTGATCTAAGTCACTCAATTAAATGGCAGCAAGGACAAGGTATTAAGCATGTTAACCTTGTCTCTTGCATAAGTCAAGGAAACAAACATGCAAGGCTAAGTTGACGACGGACTGTTGACGAAGTTAAGGTGTGCGCAATGGCACTATGGCCTGATTTCGAAGCAACAAGTGAGGACCAAGGACTTGAAGACAAGGCAGCTTGGTGAGGACTTGACAAGATGAAAGATTAACAATGTTGTTGTTGGGATATACTATTAACCATGTAATTGTGTTATAGTATTTTTTATTTAATCCCTTGTAAAGATTTTTTTATGTTATTTATTTAATATAATAAATTTTTGTTTAAATAGATCATTATGTATATATGCGTGTCCATTGCTTATATAGTAGACAATTTTGTGTGTGGAGTATTTTAACTCATACACGGAAGATTAAAATTGTTGGTGCATATAAGTTATAAATTTATGTTCACGATCAAAGATGAAGTAGGACGAACATCTTGATGATCGTAGCACAAGATTAAATATAATTTGATCTTAATTATGAGAATGGTTAAATTCAACTTCTTGTGCTAGTACATTTTGTATGTATTGAACGGACCAATTAGAGACATTTGTTTATGTTCTGAATATTTATAAATAAATTCTCTAGTCCACTACATGTACTTATACTCTCAATCTTGATATAATTATTATGATCTATGTAATTTATTTTATTGTTTTAATCTATTAAAAGGTGAGACTTTTTGATGAGTCAATAAATTCCTAATAGATTAGATAATGACAAATTACATTAGTGAAATAATAATTAGTTGATAGAACCGTGTCTCGGACCCGAGTTGAAGACACCCCTTTATGATTACTTATAAGTTTTCACGTGAAAACCCTGCAGGTGGATTTTAGATCCGTCACGTGAAATAAGTTAAGTAAATATAATAAAGGATTAATTTAGTCAATGAATTAAATTTTCAGATAATTTTGATTTAATTGATTGGTGTCGGTAATTCTAACACGGGGGGTTAAATAAGATGTAGTGGTAGATTTCGAAATTAAATTGAGGAGTGCAATTACAGAATTTTAGTGGAATACTTTGTAATTTATTGCGATATGGTTAATTCGTTCATTTGAGAATTATTATCGTAATTGGAAGCCTCTATTAAATATATCTACGGTCCCTACTATGCCTGATTAATTGACCAAGTTTGAAAAGAAGGACAAATTAATTTTATTGTTGAACTTCTTTAAAGGATGAATTATTTGAGAGTTAAAGATTGAGTTAGTGACAAAAACGTTTGGTCTTAAATGGATGAAAACGTTTTTGTTCTTATTACAAAACCGTTTGGCCTTTAATGGATGAAAACGTTTTTTATCTCAATTGATTCTCATGATCCTCTTGATTGCTCATTAAGCCTGAAATTTATTTGGACGTTTTTCCTATTCATTCTTGAGTTGGAAAACTAGATAAATAGGCTGGATGTGGCATGAAAGGAATAAGTTTTGAAAAACAAATAATACTTGCCCACACAAGTATCTTGGTAGTAACAGTCAATCAGGAAATAGGAGAAGATCGTAGCTCTGGATCCTTGGCATCTGGACGACTTTTGTGGAAGATTCAACAGGTTAGTATTCTTCTAAACTCGTTTATGTTATATTGTTTAGTCTATATGTAAGATTTGTGATCCTGAATATAGCTTCCGTTGTGCATATTCTAACAGTTGTGTGGGCATAACATTGATATTCAAAGAAAGAACAAGGGCAAACGACCAGCAAGACTAAGGCATCAATGAAAGGGCTTTGATGCCAACGCGGGATGAAGCAATGCCATAGATTTGTGACCTAGGTGTGGCAGCATTGAGTGGGAACAATGCAAGGCTGAAAAGGCTAAGTATGGCAGTGTTAAACATGGGAAGAGCTCGTCCAAAAGGCAAGCAAAGTCAAAGCTGACTGGCGGTTACTAAAAAGTGCAGCATTATCCTATTTCGTGTAGAGCTTGGTTTTGGCGCCTTGTTTGAATTATTTTGAATATACTAAGTAGTTGTGGATTGTCAACTACATAGGAAAGGATCAGGCTAAGGCAAACAAGTGTTTTATTCTAATTACGCCACTTGTCGGTAGTTGGCTGCACATAGTATTATAAATGTGCAGGCTGCCTATGGTGTAATTTCGGGTTTGATTGTTCTAAGTATTAGGGAATACTAATTAGAGTGTCAAATCTAAGTTAAGGTCTAGGGTGATCTTATAGTACCAAGGTTGGTACGATTTGAGAGTGTTCTTGTATTCACTTTATTAATACAAGTTGGAAATTAAGTTTTCTGTAAAGTTGGTTGCCTTTGTCTCATTTTATATTTTCGTGGCTTTAATTATATTGTCGTCTACTGTTTTATGTTGCTTAAAATGTCCAAGAGTTAGTCTCAAAAACCTTGCTGCCTATTTTTCGAGTTAACACCAAAACAGTCCTAAATTTGGCCAAGTGTTGGAAGGTTGAAGTCGACAAGGTTGTTGGCTGCCAAAGCGGGTTACATCATGAACTATTTGTGTTCAAAGATCGGCCCCTTTACAGGTAGCATGTGCACGGGTTTGAATCCAAGTTGTTGCCTTTTTTTTACATTTTCAAAAAGCTACTAATTAATTTCAAAATTATAGTTAATAAATCAGTTATCATTTTTAATAATTCAAAACTCTCTTAAATCAAATACCTAATCATAGATA